GTACAGGCCTTGGCAGGCGGTCGAATGCCTTGTCAAGGTCCAGGAAGGCTAGGTAGCAGGGTCGCCGCTTTTCTCTGTACTTCTCGATCAGCTGTCTGGCGATGAAGATGGCATCGGTGGTGGGCTTTTCGGGCATAAAGCCGAATTGTTCCTTCGAGATAGGGACAAGTTCCTTCAGCCTCCTGTTGACTAGGCGCTCGTACAGCTTCATGGTATGGGGAGTCAACTTGATGCCGCGGTAGTTGGAGCACTCCGTCGCGTCCCCTTTCTGTTTGAAGATGGGAACGATTGTGCTGCTCCTCCACGCATTCGGCATCCTTCCTTCAGCTGTTACGTTGTTTAGGAAGTGCGTGAGCCAACTCACCCCATGCTCTCCAAGGGCCTTCCATGCCTCTATCGGTACCCCGTCTGGAACTGATGAATGGACAGCTTCATCTTAAGCGGCGTATTAGGCTCCAAAGCACACATCAAAGGCACTGCTCGCGATCAGCTGATATTTTCGCCTCCCTTAGTGTGTAAGTAGACAGGCCCCGCTGGGACAGCGACTGCACCAATTGTGCGGCGCAAAGGTGAGGGAGGAAGGCGGAGACATTGTCTTTCCTCATCTTGGCCCAACCCTTTTTCACTGACCCGCCCACCACTCTGCATCCATAATGCTAGAAGACCTGGCAAAGAACATCGTCAGAGACATGGTTGGCAACAGGAAATCAGCGGTGATCAAACGCCCAACCACATCGACCACAACAGCACTCGCCCGGTGATCTCGTCCGTTCACTCTCTTTGCTCTTCTTCTGCTCGCACAAATGTGTACACAGAGGGGTCTGTTGGTGGATTTGCGATCCCTTTTCTGCCCTCATGACTTTGTTGGCATCATGGCATCGCTAGTTCACCACTGTACCCAGAATAACTGATTGCGAGCTTTGCCTTCAAGTGTAGTATGGGAATAAGTAGGTTTTAGTACGGTATGGTGTGACACAGGTCAGATACATATCGAGCTGACACTGTTCAACTATTACCACACGCCAAGAACTCAAAAAAGCTTCTTTGATGAGACTCTGCAAATAGGCGTGATTCGATATCCTCATCACGAGTGTGACATTCGTTTCCGAAGCTAGCGCCATTTGGTGCCGATGGGCGCCACTTTTGCACCACCACTTTTTCTACAAAATCAATACAAACTTGCCTACTGATATCGTTCGATGCCGCGATCAAGGAAGATGTCATTCATTTTTAGCCCTGGCGCCTTTGGCGTCATAAGACGCCAATTTAGCGATATACCGTTTTTTCGTAAAAGCGATAGAAACGCGCACAATAGGGTTGTTTGGCTTAATCACGGTTATGAAACTCATTTTTTGACATCAGCGCCATTAAAGACACATAGTACGCTCAAACCCCATTGAGGGTGTATGAGACTATCAGCCCCCAGCTGTCGATGTGTCGTGGTCCCCCGCCCAAAACGGCACGGGGTCAGAGTACGGGACCGTGGGGAAAGTCGTCCTTGCTACACCACCCGTTTCGCAAACTCACGTTTTTACTGGCACCGTCCGCGCGGTGCGGTCGCGTGCAGCCCTCTTAGCTTTTTGCCCAAGTCCAGAATTGCGCTTTGGAATATAAGTACAACGCAATTCCTTTATGCGGATAACATTTTAGGTGCTGCAAAATAAGAACGACGAAGATGATGACGAAGGCTAGAACTCAAGAGCAACTGTGGTGCTTCTGCAATATCCCTCAGAGGCCGCGCATTCCCACAGAACATGACAATAAAAACGGACAACATGACAATACAACCAAAACGCTTTCCCAACATTTGCTCATGCATCGAAGTCCGAATAGAAGCTGATGAAGATGACAAAGGTTAGAAATGAACAACAACGAATGTAGATGTAAATAAAACAAAATTGAAAAACTAAGGAAACGCAAATTAATTAAAATCGCGTGTGCATTTCTGCGATCCGGCTCGAATCCGGCTCTAAAGCTATAGAAATACTTCAAACTAACGAGTGGGACGCTTAGGCCGTTTTTATTGTCATGTTCTGTGGGAATGCGCGGCCTCTGAGGGATATTGCAGAAGCACACAGTTGCTCTTGAGTTCTAGCCTAGCCCTCGTCATCATCTTCGGTTCTTATTTTGCAGCACCTAAAATGTTATCCGCATAAAGAAATTGCGTTGTACTTGTATTCCAAAGCGCAATTACAGGACTTGGCAAAAAGCCAAGAGAGCTGCACGCGACCGCGCCGCGCGGACGGTGTTAGTAAAAACGTGAGGGGGCGGTGTAGCAAGGAATTACGACTTTCCCACGGCCCCGTACTCTGACCCCGTGCAGTTTTGGGCGGGGGACCACGACACATCGACAGCTGGGGGCTGATAGTCTCATACACCCTCAATGTGTTTGAGCGTACCATGTGTCTTTAAGTAGCGTTAAGAACCAAGGCTTAGCCTCAGGTACCGTTCATACTATCGTAACGATCAGCGACAGAGCGCACCCCGACGCTATTACTTGAGCCGCTCGCTTTGATAAAAAGGAACTTCCAACTTGTGAAACCTCTTTTCTCTCAATAATGGCTACTAACTGAAACTTGAAATGGCTTTCTGTCAGGATAAGAGCAACTTCATTTTCTAGGTTCTTTTTGTTTCTTTTGTTTCCATGATTTCAATTTAATGGCTAAACTGCTCCAATTGCCCAAACATTTGTAGCTTACAAGTTGAATTCAAACAATGAAAAAAGAAGCAGAAAGAAACCCAACAATGTACCATCAGTGAGGAGAAAACCTTATAGCTTCATGTATAAGCTCGAAAAATAAAAAAAAACAATAAGGAACTTACCTTGGATGAAGCTCTTACGCTTCTTGCTCATTTCTATCCTGAATCAATAAAGGAGACACAGAACAAGAACCATCAATTTGGGTCCACCTTTTCTTGTAAGGAATCAAGTTGCAGTACCACCCCCCCCCGCTGAGTACCCGATACAGTTACAATTGAAATAATGAACAAAAGGTGTTGGTTCATCTTGAAAGAACTCAGAGCGGTCCAAGTAATAGCGTTGGGGCGCGCTTTCTCGCGTACCGCCAGTCGCCGCTGCGGTCGCGATGAACATGGATGAAGCGTAGGTGATGGCGATGTCCTCCATCAGCACCAGCACCAAAAATGAATGCGATCCTTGTATTCGGATATCTAATAGCTTCCGCACACAAGTTTTCAGCGGATCTGGTGACCTAGGATATTTAGGCGCCGGCGCCTGCGACGCGGGCGCCTAAACGAAGTCGACATTCGTATTCAGAAGGTCAAACTACCCCTGGAGACAGGTTTTCGGCGGACTGGAGATCAAGGGCGCTTGAAGCCGGCCGGATTTTCAGCCGAATCTGCACCCTTACTATTAGAAAAAAGTCGGTCAAAATCTGGTCTGTTTCCATAAGATCAGAGTAGTAATAGTTGAATAGTACCGAAGTACTGAGGTCGTGCTTATATATCTTCTTTAAATAACTGTAATATGGCGCACATCATTTTTGTGCATCCCATTATACGGCCTTATCCCTGAGACGGAGTAGGCGTGGCTTTTGAGCATGGCATAGGACGGGTTTCTCGTGGGATACTTCAATTTGAAACAACTGCTATCTTGTTCTGTGTCAGATGTAGACATGATTACGACTGCTCCGAAATGACAATATCTCACGAAAACCTGGGCCGCCGCCATTTTAAAATCAAGTGCGCAGCCACGCCTACCCTCTCAGGGATTTCGAGTGTACATGAGTGTCTTTGGGGAGGCACAGTGATTGAGAGTGAATCAACACGAGCGGGAGCAGATTGACGCCTTCTGGGTAGATTTGAAGAAACGGTTTAAGGTTAGAAACGGGTGAGGATCCACTGAAGGGATTTCCCACTAGCAATCTGTACATTTCACATCTTACCATTAGAATGCATTTTCTGGCTTCTAAAGCTGTGACACGATACATCATTTGTGGTTCTTGCTAATCTCATGATACAAAAATCAAGATACAGAAGAAGTGCATCAGCCTGCCCACAGGGAAAAAAGGAGTTAATTGCAAGAAATTGGCGCATTTGGATTCGACAGAAAGGCCTCTTATTTCATCGTATTAGCACAATTTTGCCATGCGGCAGTCAGGTGCATCAAAGTACTAGGTCCGCATTAGAACCAAAAAGTGAACAGGATTCTTTGAATTATAGAACCAAAGTTGCAAATGTCCTGTGGGTGGTAAATTCCGAAGGGACACACTTTTCAAATTTTTGATATATTCTGGCTCGTCTAACGGAAAAGGCCTAAATTGTCGAGGCTGGCCCGGCAAAGCCGTGTCACAACAAGGAGGAGTGCCCGGCATTAGCTGACCATGAGCGAAATCTCTGATGTGATAGTGTTCAAAATGATGAGTTTCAAAAGGGGATAAAGATATGTTTTGGACATGATTATGGCCAATCTATGGCAAACAAATTGATCGTCCATGGCTCAGACACTGACATGCTTACAGAACATAATAAGATAACACTAAAGATATAGACGATTGCCTGACGGAGGAGGAATACGAACTGTATAAAATGAGCTCTGCAGCAAGGGAAAGGGATCTTGCTACAATGTCAACGGCCACGACGAGTACAACGACAACAACACCTACCACACCACGACTACAACGACAACGACAACGACGCCTACCACCACTACGACTACAACGACAACAACACCTACCACCACTACGACTACAACGACAACCACACCTACCACCACTACGACTACAACGACAACCACACCTACCACCACTACGACTACAACGACAACAACACCTACCACCACTACGACTACACGACCAACCACGCCTACCACCACCACGACCACCACCACCACCACAGCGATGACGACAACGACCGCGGCTACATCGACGACAATGCTTACCACCACAACCACTTCAACGACAACAACGCCAACGACCACCACAAGCAGTGTGACTACATCACCAACGACTACAGCTCGTACTGCTACCATAACTAGTTTACTGTCGACAAGCAGTGGAAACAGAAGCGCTGAAATTTCACTGCTCGATGCGAAGGTACGCTTATCATTTGATCTTGTTCAAGTATGATATACAAGTGATTTTAGGAGTACGTTCCTGCACAACGCAGACTACTGTGAGTATTGAAGTGCATGCTCTATCGTAACTATTTAACTTTACCATTAGCCCGACATGAGGTGCCAGATGACGTCATAATGGAGCAGCCCGATTGAGAAACAGTTAACTGGCTCAATGAGTGTTCGACACGTTGTTTCATTCTTTCCCTTTTATGTTATCGAGGGAAAATTGTTCGCATGCTCACTGACGATGTGAACTGTAGTAAGGGATGGGGTCAAGCCTATTCTCTCCCTTCTTCGTATTCTATGTATCACACTCGCGCACTCTGAAGAACTCATTGTCAGACGGTTTTGAGCATGCAACCCACTATGCGCCCCCATGCGTCCGATGAGGAGCGAGCGTTCGCAAAAACCATGCACCAAGCTTCTGAGTTCCTACCGTTAAGCAAAGGTGACGCTAAATGAGAGTATGTAAATGTGGCCTATATAATCGTGAATAAGCTTATTGAGCAAGTTTTCGATCTAACTCAGTGAGGCGCCTAGTCGGTGCTTCTGTTCGAGCTCGAAAACGAACGCTATGAACCATCTTAGAGAGCACTGCTTCCTGGTCGTCCACTTCACAAAAGAGACTCTGCGCTGTAGCATTTGACCGAACACGAAGAAGAGAGAGCGTGGAAAATGATCAGTTTCATCGACTGGTCACTGGTATAGTCGCTTCAATGCAAGCCTAGTCCAGGGATTACTTACGTGTTTGCTCGACGGACCATTAATAAGTCAGATCATAGTAACTACTGCAAGTCCCCCTCTCTCTCCCAACAGCCATACCCACTTGAGTGTCGCATGGAGAAGTAGCCCTGCAAAAAGCAGCGGCTGATTTCCCCAGAACGTGGCGCTCATGAATATCACTCCTCATATGATTATTTAATTTTGAGTCAAGCGCGTATCTTCTTTGGATGGTAGCGTTTATCCCAACAAGGAGATTTCTATTCGGATATTTTAGTCTTCGAAGTCTTGGTAGGTAACTTGTCAAGCTAAAGTGGTCAATTAGTGGTCAGGTGTATTTCTTTTGGGCAAGCAAACATCCTCGTTATGCTTTGGCCATTTACATGATTATTTTCAGGCTAGTGTTAGGAGCGAGTGGTCTGGGTATAATACTCCTTCTGATAATCATAGCATGCATAATGGGACGTCGGTCAAAGCTAAAACGAGGTACAGGGGAGACTGCAATTTTTTTTGGAGATCAAGTTCCTGCGTTTTTAGGAGCTCCTCTCAAAAAGATGTCACAAAAAGGAGTGCGATGGTCCGCAGAAATAGCCTCAAGAAGTAGTGGTTCAGTAGAGACAGGTCCAGTATCGATAGCTTCAAAGAGCAGCGGTTCAGCAGAGAAGGCGCCAGTAGTACCGAAAGCTTCCAAGAGCAGCGGTTCGGCAGAAAAAGCACCAGTATTGAGAGACTTGAAGAATAGCGGTTCCGTAGAGAAAGCGTCAGCACTGAAAGGAAGCAGAGAGAAGAGCTAGACGATATACTGGAGGTAATCGACATTTGAAAACGCTAGTGACGACATTTTCAAAATTTCTTGATAAATCGTTGCTTCCACCAATGTCTAACAATGTTTTTCCAGACTCAATTTGTTGTTGATCAGTCAACTATTCAGGCATACTGGTTAGCTGAATGACAAAGTTAAAAGGAGAGTGAACGGGAGAGCTGACGTCTAAGACGCCACGGACAGCGTTACTTCACCAGGGCGTATTTGCTGTAATCCGTGAAGGGGTACACTAGTTCCGACAAAGTAGATAGTGTTCGCTATTGAAGGATGACAGGAAAAGATAACAACTGTCAAAGTCTAATGAGAGGCTACCAGAAGGGGAGTGTCAGCAACAATGGGGCGTTCGTTTCAATAAAAGATAAGGGGGTAGGAGAGCAACATCATGCGTGGGTGACATGAAGTGTTGCAAAGACTTCATAAGGGGAAGGCAGCTAAATTCATAGCCCTTGTCACAGTAATAGTGGGGCATTGGTTCTAAGAGGTTATATGGGAACAAGATACATCATCGCTGTGCGAAACCCATCGGAAGGTCGTATTTGGTCGCTTGGCGATGGGAGTCACAGGAAGCTAACTTCAGTGTTACCGTCACAGTACCGTGACCTAAGACAGCGCCCTTTAAATTGTACGTCTGTCGTAGGCGTTGAAAACATCGGCAGGCATTGAAAATACAACGATAATTTCCTTTGTCTGGGTGGAAGAAGACTAGTGTGTTTGGGATGTCGCTGTGAGAACTTCGATGTAAGGATAAGCCTGATTTGTAGCCTCGAAAGGTGGAACAGGTGGTACTTGCCTGTAGTTGGTCACGTTCACTACTACGACTTTTCAATCCTAGGAATAATTTTTTTCTCAAAACCTAGCTGTAGTGAAATCATCCACTGAAGTAGAACAAACATTTACTGTCGGAAACTGGAGAGCCAAAGTTGGACACACACTGCTTGGGCACAGTTCCGCCAAAATATGAGGAAATTCTGTTACCAACTCGCCACCAAAAACGTTCTGCCAGAGTACAAGAATTACAAGTGTATTCGGTACTGCCAGTCCCGATCCTGATCCTGGAATTTCTTGTCATCACCAAGGACCAAACCGTGTTCGTAAGACCCTGGATTACCCCTCCAATCTAACTACCAATCTGTAGCGAACTGAGTCTGAACTGTAGTTGCACCAAACTGGCGCCAAATGGTATCGTCACGAAAAATGTCATGTCAGTAATCAGATCACTACTTTTTATGTCTAGTGATAGTGACGTTTTTCGCTTTTCCAATCACTAAGCATGCAGTGAAATTTCATGCGATAAATTGGGAAACCGCTTGTGTAAGAATATTCTGGACCGGGGTGAGTTAGTAATAAATCAGCTCTTTATATTCAGTGCATTGTTCTAGTGCAAGCGTGCAGTGTATTCTAGTGCAAGCGCATTGGTGCGCGCTATTTTACGACCTGGAGCCAATTTCAAGCCAAACACTCGAAAAGTACCCCTCTTTGAACACCCATAACTTCGTTGAAAGTAAAGCTCTCGGAGAGGGGAAAGTGGGAATGAGTGGAGCTAGGTTGGCTCTTGTTACCTGAGTTTGAGCGATTTCAAAAACATTTCTTTTTGAAATTTTCTCCGTTGCTACCCTTGCGTGAGGGGAGGGGCAATCACAAGTCGCACCACTTTGGACATCCATGGCATGCTTCATACACGGCCTTTCCTGAAAGAAAAAAAAACTGTACCGAGGCACGAAGCCTTCTATTTTCCAGCAGAACTTTCTTTTATCCCTAGGCCTGCTATTCGAAAAAATCCCCGTTGTGATCATAGAAAAATCACTCCCCCACGGCCCGAAAAATCAACCCCTCCGACGCCAGAAAATCTCCAGTTGGCTTTAAGACATTGGTATGCTTCTAAAACGCATGTTTTTGCCAAGGATACCAGGAAATAGTTCATTGGACGCCAATTGGCATCACCTCTGCATTGCGCCATGCATAGCGCTTTCACGCAGAGCTATTGGGAAGGTGCAACTTCTAGAAAGGGCTTCCTTCGTGCAGGTAGATGTGCTTGCACGGTCAGAAAGGCTCGGAAGTGTATTTTCATCTGTTCACTAGTTCATGGCGGATATTCATTGGCGCGGGGGTGGTGTAGTGACAAGTGGCGCGCTTACCACTCGCGCGATGCCGGGTTCAAATCCCGGGTCGACTTTCGCCTAGGCCAACCAAGCCTTCTACCCTCCGGGGACGGTAAGATGGTACCAGATTCGTCTGGGAGGATAAAACACTGACTTGTACATCGGCTGGCCACCGCAAGTCATTGTATAGGCCACATCGCATTCAATAAGCCACTGCGATTCTGAATGGAAGTAGAATGCGTGCCGCATCCCACAAAGGGGTTGATCAACGGCGGAGACTTTATCCTTTATCTTTTAATATTAATTCATGACGTCGTTGTGGGAGGCCATCATATTCCCTGTCATCGCCCGTTCCCCATTTCTGCGCTGGCAGGTTGCTTCTGTATTGTGTGGGTCTCTTCAGAGGTCCTTCACATGGATAAGTCTTTCATCATTTGAAGCTGAACGACAGCTGGGTATCGCTGCACCCTCACTTCAGAAAGGTCCCCGCGCTTACGACCCCCCGCCCCCCTCCCTCACACGACCCCCTGTTTTGATGATCACAACGATGGCGTGATACACTGGGCATATGCCAAACATATAGAAAGTCTATATTGAGACGAAGGAAGGCATAAGTGAAGTGTGCACGACTTTCTCGTCCATCCTTGAAAATTGTACTATATGCAAGCATTCCCGCACAGTTCTCGTAGCGGGACTAGCGTAAGGCACAGTGTTGTACGCAGGGCACATCAACGGTTGGAGATTTAAGTCGACCCTATACGACCCCTCCCCACTTTTTGGGATTGGTACGTTCCCCCTCCCCTCCCCTCCCCCCAGCCCTCTGTCCTTCCTCATCGAATCGAGCCGTCGAGCGGGGGGGGGGGAGGGTGCATATAGTACGCATGAAACAGGAAAATCATGAAAAGTCAACCACCACTCCTAGAAGGCCAAAGCACAAATACGACCCCAACAATGACCAAATACGACCCCCCCCACAACGTCCATGAAGCGAGAAAAATCAACTATCAAAATAAATTTTTCTCAGCCCAAATACGACCCCCTCCTGGCGACCAAATACGACCCCCCTATTGGGGATTCCCCAACCAATGATGTGCCCTGGTTGTATGTACGTCCACTGCGGAGTTACAATTAACTACGCGCCGCTCTGGACTACAGTAGCGTGGCGGTAATACTGAAGTTGGTTGTGTGGAAGTCGTAAACGCAGGGTCAGTGAGCACAAAACAGCACAAAAGTGTCATCGTTAAGTTTGGTGGAGTGGACGGGAAGCGGCAGAGGACCGGTTGGAAAGATTACTACAAAACTTCCTACTATATATAATCCGCTAGGTATGTCTGTTGGTGTGTGTGCGTGTGTTTATGTGTGCGTGTGTGCCTGTCTATCACGAAATTCATAGGTCCCAGTACGAATGGGACACTGATTCCAGGAATTGATGTAGGGGGTGTGACGGGAAACCATACCATTTCATAAGATCTGATGAGAGGCGTCAAAAGTGAGAGGTCATTACATTCATAACGCGGGCGACACCAGCAGCTCGCTCTTGATTCTAAGATGTGATATAGGGTATCAGTCAGATCCCCGGCTGCCGGCGGGGAATCCCCAACAGGGGGGGGGTCGTATTTGGCCGCCAGGAGAGGGGAGGGTGCGGTAGCCAGTAACGAGCAGCGCAAAGGTGTCAGTGTGCTGAGTCCTGTACAGCGAAACTTGCTTTGTAGAGAACTCGGATATGAAAAAAATAGTACAAAACTTTCATTCATCAAACTAATCCGAAATAACTGGAAATATTAATAAGTCGACATCATCTCGTAAGTGACTAAACAGTACAACTCATACTCTGGTTCGCTGCGGATGATGGGGCGTGTCCGCGATCGCGCTTGGCGCTGAGCCAACCTGTTTTTTTCGACAAACGACAGGACTACCATATCGTTCGTATCAGACGTTTTCCAGCAGTTGGTCTCCTTTATCGGAATCAGCAATTGGCGGAGCACGAATCTGGCAGCGTCGACAGGGACATGTTCCATCATACGCAACGGAAAACACTGTAAACAAGTGCACAGGTTCGCCATGGACCTCCCTGAATCCTATAGACACATTTGCTCGCGTGGACAGACATTACGCACAAATTGCACCATCCCATCACCTCTGCGCGGACCTCAGTGCGCGGCGCATCCAAAGTTAGCATGATTGGCGCTAAACAAACCATCCTGCTCCACCACAGGATACGTTCTACATGTATTTCTGGTTATTCGAACACGCTCGCTTGAAACCGTACACGGAAAACGGAGTTTACAGTTCGAAGTGTTCCCCAACAAATCCCCAACGCAATTATCTCATGAATCCCGGAAACTTCAGAAAAGTTTAAGTAGTTTTTGGAAAGAGAAAATCTTCTAGAATTCGATACTGGTTTCAGATTTCCAAACTATTGAGGTTCAAGGGAAATATCTTAGTTCCCTGTACAATTCGCACTGCAAATTATCCAAAACTGCACTCCCCAATAAATCCCCAACGCGAATTTCTCTATGAATTTGGCGACCTTTATGAACATTTCAGTATGTTTTGGGAAGCTCAACTCTTTTTCTTCACGACTGTGTTTTCCACTTTCCCAACGGTCTGCATTCAAGGAAGTTATTACCCTCCAAAGACACCCTGTTTTCCTGAAAACTCGCGCTCCAATCCAACCACCTTGCAACCACCTTGCACGGCTGGTCCTGCCCAGAATCCCTTCCAATCGATTCCTCACCATTTTCCAGCTGCTGGTATAGCTCCATTTCTTTCTTTTTTTCTGTTATGCTGTCTGTTTTTCTGTTATGTTATGCTATTTCTGCTTTCGGTTGCGTTATGTTATGCTACATCATTTAGGCCGCGTTCATAGCTT